ATGTGACGAAAAACAAATTCGATTATGACGCAAGTAGTAGTCGTCGCAGTATACAAAAATGTAGTGACAAATTATCAAATTCGTCACCATAAGACAATCAAAGGTGACGAATTTTTTTTCGTCACACGAATTTTGTCACGATACATGCAATTTCTTGTAGTGCTCGTACTCGGTTAAGTTTTCATCCGGCCCCGGAAGCTCTTCATCGAAAATCGATGAACCGTCGTAGAAATTGCCTGCGTCGCCGGAAAGATGCTCAACTCGTAAACCCATCTCCCATCGCGACTCACTAAAGTCCTCGGTCTCACGCCGAGGCTCGCGACACCGCAACTCATCAAGATCCACCTAACCTGAGGCCAACATCGTCGATCCCAAAGCTCATCCACATTGAAGCCCTCGGCTTCATGATGCGTCTGTCGGTCGCTGCAGGAATTAACGTCCAAAACGTTCTCTTCGCCCTCGTCCTCGTTGGACAGCGGTTGTGGCGAATGCCGGCAGGGCATCCCATCTATGCCACGCCCTCTACATCTGCAGCGGAATCCCCCACGCTCGCCCCTCGTCGGCACCGTGGTACGTATGTGCACCTTTCACCATGGTATGGATAGTGAGATGCAATTCCTCAAAACCCATCGAAAGATCCGCAAACCGAGCATCCACCTGCTGAAACCAATCGCCAAACTGTTGAAAACAGTCGTTGATGGGGGCATCACACCGACCGATAACTGCATCTTTTCGTCCCGACAGCATCCTGAATCGTGCTGACTTTTTATACCAACTGATGTAGAAATCATATGAATGGAAAAGATAAAATGAGATTCAATCTTGTGAATATGATAAACACAATCAATTCTCAATTCAAATTCAATTGTAGAAAACAATGTAGAAGGGGTCTTTAAATATGACTCTAAAAATCCTATAATTCTAATAAAGTAATAAATAAATATCCTAACAAGTCTAGAATACCGTTAATAATAATCAAAATAAAGTAAATCGATAATTAATCAAATTGTGATTCCATTCTCCATCACAGAGGGGGTTTAATCACTCATTTCTGATCCATGCTTCATTTTAATAGGCTTTCATTTCTTTAAATGGCAAAAACAAAAAATTGAAGCATTTGATCTGGTCACATGATTCAAATTCCACCAACAAAAACCATACCATTGCTTGCTTTCTCTCAGCCAACTTATCCTTTCCAAACTCGAACGTAACCTTTTGGGATGGAAGCAAGTGTTAACCACCATAAGGGAATATGGACTGGAGAAGTTCATTCAAGTAGAAGCAACAATACTTTCTTTGTACCTGCTAGATAAGGACACAAAACAACAAGTTCTGAACACTGAGTCTCCATCTGGCAAAGACAAGACCAGCTTTTTGCTTCTTGGCTTTTACCTTCTTTAAGAGAGGACATTCGGATTCAAACTATGGCTTAAACACTTGAAGGCAAACCTAAAAAAACCTAGAAACTAACATTGCATGCCAAACTACTTCTAAGTTCATGCAATAGGCAAAAATATTTTTTTAGTCTCTTAACTCACCCCATTTTTAATTTTGCTCACCGAAAATGTCCACTACTAGAAATGGACCTCGAAGTAAAAAAAAAAAAACAATTTGCCTTTTGGTCTCATGACGCATGTAGCAGATAACTGAGACCAACTAGCCTACTTATATATTAACCTGCCTACATGTAAATTAACCAGAAAATATGTATCAAAGAAGTCATACCATTTCTTTTGTTTAAATTCTTTGACCATCAAATTTTCTTTAAACTCATCAATCGTCGCGTCAGCTTTGTACTTTCTCTTTAGGATCCACTTGAATTCTAATGATTTACAAGCCTCAGGGAGATCAACCAACTAACAAGTATGATTTTTGCATAATGGACCCGATTTTGCTATTTATAGCTTCTTCCCAGAATGATCTACCTGGGCTGGATAGAGCTTCCTTACTGGAACTCAGTTCATCATCCAACATATTCGTGATAAAATCAAGTCCAAATGTTTTTGCCAGTTTTACCCTTTTATCACGACTCGATTCTTAATTTTTTTTCTTTTGAACCATCCGATATAAGAGTGCTGACAGTTTTATATACACATCATTTTGTTAGAAATAGATTATATATTTTTCCTCAAGAAAGAAAAATATTTTCAAAGAATATAGCATTCCTCCACTCAATTGCGGTACTAACATATACCTATGGATTTTCCGATTTATGAACAAGAACTATATGCCATCCTATTATATGCATATCCAATATAAATACAATCGATCATCATATGTACGATTCTCATTTCTTTGCTTTCAAGAACTGAACCTAAGCCAAACAACGCCACACTTTTAGGACAGTTTATTGACAGAGTTCTGAGTAAGAATAAGACGGTTTACTGAAAGTTAATTTCTTATTAACAACTTCCCAAAAGTTCATTAACTTGCATTGTCTATAAGTTTAAGCGCAATCACAATACTCCCCAAAAAGTTGAGTTGCACAAACAATTATAGACATAGCACACACACAAAATAGCCGGAAAAAATGCATACTCCATCTGTTCTGCTTTCATGGTCCAATTTTCTAGTACCTCATTGTCCCATATTTCATTCTCAGTTATTGATCTTAGGGACATTTATCATATTTTTTATATGTAATTAGTTATATACTGAACAAACACAAAATAACCTGGAAAATACATACTCCATAACGTATAATCATCTTTTTTTTTTAATTTCATTAGTTCACCTCAACAGTCTTAAAGAGTTTGTATTTCATTTGCATCATCAGGACTGATATAACATGACTACAACAAAAGGGCAAAATTACGAGCTGTATATAGAATTCATGGATCCGCACTCAGCACTCTCTGTCCTCATCAATCCTCCCAAATGCAACCGAGTTGCCGCCCAGAGGCACCACGCATTGCTTTCGCTGGCGCCCGGATTTTACAGCGTGGCGGCGGGTGGTGGCGAGTCTCATCGCAGCCCTCATTTCATCGTCCACGCTTCTGTGCTCTGCATCCACGCTTGAGAAATGCGACATAGGGCAGCCCATGGTGCTGACGTGGGGTACGGACCATGTCATACCCGCAAGGGATTTTACATATGAATCCCAGGCTCGGGCTGCAGCCCGAATCGGACCGTATACGAACCTTGTCGACTTCCTCTCCTTGGCGACCCTTTTCGAACTCATTTTCTTTTAGTCGTAAAGGGGAGGAAATAAAAACTGATCTTGTTTAAAATGGATGATTTAAGGTAGGTGTTTATTTATACAGCTTTGATTCAGTGGATGATCATTTTCTCCTCATCTGTATTATAGAGTAATTAGTTGGCAATTTAATAGTGTTTTAGTATAATAATGCTGAGTTGAGAGTGATGGCTTGAAAAAGGGGCACGACTGCTTAGTTTGAGGTTAGTTAATGGAATTCTCACAGACTTCTTTTAATCTATATTAATTCTTCGAGTAATGCTATAGATACATAATGTTATACATAGAGGTGTACATAACGATCACATTGAGTGAGACCCACTAAAATTAAAAAATCAAGTGGACCACACTCCATGTGAGTGTTATGTACATCGTTATGTACATTTATTATGTACATGTAGCATTTTTCTAATTTTGAAGATACAGAGAAAGATTTGTTTTGTGTTTGCGAGTGCATGTGATAATATTTGGAGGAGAGTTCATTTGAACAAATCTTGCTAAATACTTGACCGTTTGTAATGCGTACCCGTTTGTATATTTTATGCAGCATTCATGTATTTGCCCTAAAAGAATTAAGAGATCTTGCTTTCAACATATTCAAAATTGTTTTAAAATGTCATAAATTGGAGAGATGCTGCAGTTTCGTTACGAAACTATTTCGTCGTGGTTTGTAACCGTTAGAACAACTATCCCTGACGGTTACATGATAATCTAATGGTTACAAATCCTGACGGAATGGTTCCGTAACGGGAGGCCGTAGAATTTTCTAATGGATTGAATTCCGTATTGTCTCCGAAGTAAATTGTTTACTCAATATAACTTTGCTCAATTTTCCAGTATGTATTGTTCCAAAGCAAATTATTTACTCCATATAACTTTGCTCAATTTTCCGTATTGTCTAATGATGATGTAGAAAAGAAATTTAAGATTATTTAATATTAGATTTTAATTTAAATTCATGTCGATTTGAAAAGGTATTTAAGAAAATATATATATATATATTCTCGTGAAAAGAAGTTTTTCAATACCTACTCCACCCACTTGACCATTGTGATCAAATTTATTCATTTTTTTTTTTTTTTATAAATTTAGCTTTCATATTTTCTCTAAAGCTAGTTTCAATAGACAATAAAGTGTTTTATTTACATTAAGAGACCCTAATCTTAAGGGTCTTCACAATCATTTTGCTCTTTCATCAAGAAATCGATTCCACGTAACTTTATAAACCAAGTAAAATTAAATGCATATATATGTCCTCATATTAACAGGATTATACAAAAATTCTATGGAGTTATCGGATGGTTTTTTTATAGAGCTATTGATCAGTTAATGTATTGATACTGTCCAAAAGTGTATTTATTGTAGAACACATGTCAATACATTATTTGTGAATAATTATGGATTAGTCCATAAGCCGAGCCATCCGGTGGCTCCATAGCAAAACTGCAGGATTATATGACCATATGAGTAATAATTTTGAACATAATTTTGTGATAACTATTAAAATAAAATCTGATTTTTTTTATGTTAAGTACGAATCAATACAATTTCTTATTCTTTTAGCAACCAACCATATACCGTGATTTTCTAAAAAATGTCTTCAAAAAAGCATCTATTAAATAAAATATTTTCGAATATGCATGACAAAAATTGCAAATATAACTGCAAATTAAAAATTGAAACCAATTATGTCTTGACATACAAATCATTAGTTTAGTAAGAAATATATAAATATTTATAATATATATTGTTATAATTATGATGACAAACCAACTAATCATATGTCGAAATATCCGCGTAAATTATTACTAAAAAAATTGTAATGCATATTGTTATAAGTTATAATAATAAACTAACAAGCCATCTATCGAACAACGATATAAATTGTTAGTTTACAAGAAATAAAAACTATTTATAATATATATAATTATTAAATATAATAATAAATTAGTTGGTGTTGAAATGTTTCATAAATTTATTAGATTAGAAAGAAAATTTAAAATACTTATAATATACATCATTATAAATTATAAAAAAATAAAATTATATTTGTTAATTAAAAATTGTTATATTTCTTCACTTTAAAATATTATATATCACAGTATTTTTCAATTAATTGTTGGTTATAATATTTACCATAATTTTTTAATTTAAACATAACTTTATTGGAATTTTAAATATTGTAATACTGTATGAGTAAGGGAATAGAGAGAAGTATTTTTTGTGTATTATCAATTGATAATATTTAAATATGTTAAATCGTCGTTATTTTAACTCTAAACACGAACTTTAAAATGACGGTTATTTTATAACGGGTGAGATAAACATATAAATCATATGTTAAGTTATTATATATCATAAAATAAAAGGAAAAAATATTAATATTCAAAATTACTTTTATACTAATCAATATTATTTGATGGTTTTGGTTATGCAATTTATATTATTGTCATGTTGCACGTAATACGTACTAGAATTTTTTTATTTTTTTATTATTTTTTTTTTGCATACAAGCACCCCTTAATAATGGGTTTCGAGAACCTTTTACTTCTTTTTTTTTTTTAGCCAAACATCAAATATTATATATAAACTCAAAGTCAGTACAGCCGAATAACCAAAAGGGTTACTATTATGGTTCCCAGTTGGACATACCCCAACCAAGGAGACACAAACCAGAGAAAGCTACCATTAGCTTCCCTCAAGGACCAACAAGGCCACCAAAAACAAAATTACAAGAGAAAACCAAACTAAAGAGAATTAACAGAAAAAATCCAGAAATAATATCCACCTAAGGCGGGCGGTTTGAATGACCAAGATTTCATATCCTTTAAGATTGCAAAAATATCATCGACAAGAACTGTAACTTCAACATTGAATTCCTTCTGGTCCGAGAGCTTCTTTGTCAAATTCTTATCTTCCACCTTGAAGTGAACTTCCTCCCAACTTGCTCTCTTACCTGCAACTAGCCAATCTCTGATTTGCAGTAGAATGTAATCTTCATTCCTTTCTGTGCCTTGATTGCTTGAAGCCCATTGTTCCACAACTAAGTTACTAATATAAGCTAATCCATATACTCGAAAACCTGCCACAGAATGTCCATTAGCACTGAGAGTTAATGACAACTCCCCTACTCCTTGAACATCCACAGCATGTATTCCTCTAGCATTAGCTTCTTCATACTCTGCCCACTCCATGTATGCTGATTTCACCACCCTGCATCTCTGACAGCCACTCTTGTTGAAACAACCAGCGATTACGAGCATATCCACCACATCAAGTAAATTGATAAAGAAATTCTCTCCCTGCCCTTGTCATCAAATATCAGCTTACATGCCTCTGCCCACCAATTTAGTGAAATCCACCCCTGTCTCCTGCCATCAAGACCACCACACACCTGACAATTTCCATATTTTTTTAGCTCGAGAACAATAAAACATAATATTCTCCATAGTTTCAATATCCTCCCCACAGCCCCCACATATAACATCAACTGCCAAACCTCTCTGCTGCAGAGTACATTTAGTGCCTAAACATTTATGAATGCATCTCCACAAAAAA